GAAGAAAAGAAGAGAAAAACCCTAAAAATTCAAACAAAGCTTCGACTTTGTCATTAGGGTTTGGTGTATTTATATAAATAACTTTGAATCTGAATCGAGTGAGCTGTATTCTATTTCAATTCCACGAAGATTTTAAAAAAATATTAAGGATTTCGTGTTGGCATGACTTTTGCTTTTTATAAAAAAACTTTTGGAGAAAGTTAGTTTAATTTTTGTTTGAAAAATGATTTTTGAGAGAGTGATTTAAGAAAAAGTTACATTGGACCAAGTTCATCCAAAAATATTTCTAACTAAAAGAAGCTCTTTCAACAAATTAGTCAAAACAAATCCCAAATCAGCTTTTGGATTTCGAAAATTCCTTTTAATTTCTCAGAAGCCATACCAAACAAGCCCTAAACATAATCCAAAACTCAACGAGTCCAGTTGATAAAATTTTAACATAATTCATCTAAAAAGTGCTTAGTATGCCTGTTTGGCGTTGATAAAACTTATATTTTTAGAAGATTTTGATAAAAAAATAATGAAATACGTAGTTGAATTCATCCAATGGGATATGTGGTTCGAATTAACCCTCTATTTGATTACTACTAAAATGAGTTTTTTGCGAAAAAATGATTTTTGTAATAGTGATTTAATAGAGAATGTGTAGTTAAAAAGATGGGAAAAAAAATTATATTTACATGTAAAATATATAATTAAAAATAAATTTGAAAAATGATGAATTTTATTTTAATGATCGTCAAAACATAGACTAAATATTGACTTTAATTTAAACATGGGCTATAAAAGAGAAGTTGAGGAAAATAATTAGTTAATCTGATGTTTAATATTATAATTATCACATGATTCACGCGGATTTAAGTGTCCCTTTGAAACAACCGCAAACACACCATCTTCATTTCGCGTCTTAGCATCCACCCTTTGATGATCTTCACCATTTTCTCCACCGTAGATTCCTTCCCCTATAAAAGATAATGACGAGAATAATGATGGCAACAAGCCGAGTCGAGTCAGCTCGCAAACCCAAGCTCAAGCTCAAGCCACATATCGTCCAAAAAAAGGCTAGAACTTTTTGGGCTCAAATCGAGTCGGGGATTGACTCGTCCCCATACATGGGGCTTAGCCCTGAGCTTTGGCTCGAGTCCTTTGTCGAGCTGAGCCAATCAACAGGCCTTTTTATTTTCTTTTACACCTGGCCATGTTAATGAGTCGACTCGAGCCACGAGCCGAAACTCAAAACTTGGGCTTGGCTCGAGCAAAACAGGTCCAAGTTTTTTTGGACCCGAGCCGAGCAAAAGCTCGGCCAAAAAAATGAGGTTCGGCCCGAGCTTTTGGCTCCTGCCTTAGTGGGCTAGCTCGGGCTTTTTATATTAAGTCACTGGCCGTCCC